CGCCCACCCCAGCTCCTGGTCCTTTAAAGAAAAGCCCTGGTGCTCACTGGGTGCTGCTGGGCAGGGGGATGATCCCTGCTGCCCCCCACTGCCTCCCACTGCATGGAGGGCTCTACAGGAGCCCCCTGACCCCCACCCTTGCTCCCCCAGCCCAACCCATGGGTGCCTCGCCCGGGCCAGCTCCAGCCCTGTAAGAAAAAAAAGAGAAAAGCCCCAGGACTCACCGCTCCTGCAGTGGCCTCAGGGTTTTTGGGGGGCTGTGCAGAGCCCCCCAAGTGGTGCAGGGCAGCGGGGGACAGGGGGGATCACCCCCCGCTGACAGGAGCGGTGAGTGCAGGGCTTTTCTCGGGTTTTTTTTTTCCTTAAATGGCCGGAGCTTGCCCAGGCAGGACACCTGTGGGGTGGCTGGGGGAGCAAGTGGGGTTCGGGGGGCTCATGGCAGAACCCCCCATACAGTGGGGGGCAGCAGGGATCACCCCCCTGCCCAGCAGCACCCGGTGAGCTGGGGCTTGTTCTTTAACAAGTGCCAGGAGCTGGGGTGGGCGGGGCAGCCATCGCCAGGCTGTGGGGGATGGGGCTGGCTGATTCGGAGATTCGACAGCAGTCGAATCAGTTTGGGACAGTGATTCGAATCACTGAATTGAATCACTGTTACCCGAATCGGCCGAATCCGAGTCTGAAGCGAATACTAGCCGCTTCGCACAGGCCTAAAAGATACCACCTTCTTGCCCTTTATCACAGACTAGAAATTTGCCAGGTTAAGATGGATGTTAGTTTCTTGCCAGTTAAACACAGTACACTATACACTGCTTTCTACCTGACAGGTTTTCTTCAGCCACACACGATGGCAGCAAAAGCATAGAGTGCACACTACAGAATATCCCAGTACAGACTATTTGGTACCTAGGAGCCACTTTTCTTATGTATCCCAGCAGAATGTGCATGTCAATCACAGACTCTTTATGAAGTGCAGCAGGGAAAAGTGTGGAAGATAGTTGTCCTCTGACCCAGTGATTCCCCAATAAGGTAAAAGTTTTTAGCACTGGGTTCTGTTTGCACTAGTAAAAAAGTGTATATCTGTCTCTTTTGTATATATGAGAAAGAGAAGGGGTTCAGGCCAGAGAATCCATAGCCTATCTGATTGATTTATTTAAGTGCTAGAATTAATAAAAATATTGGGGCCCATAAAAGTAAAAGATAGCACAGGCATTAGAACCCACCTTTTTCCCATTTTTTTGCAACAAGTTACTCTAACTGTGAGCAGGCCTCTACCTTGTCCTCTGGTCAGTACTGAAAACACACTAGATGCCACCAAAGCACTTACA